TGAAATCAATGTCCAGAATCAGACACATTCATACAGTACTTCCCTTTGTTACCACCTGCTCTCATGCTCTCTGCCAGTTTTTCTATTTCATTGTTTCTCTCTCTCTCTCTCTGACTTACAAGAACTTTTTATATATTGAGAATACTCGGCATGGTGTATGCGCAAATATCCTTTTCCAAGTTGAGACGTGTCTTTTAGCTTTCTCTACTGTGATCTATTAGAGCTCCATAGAAATGTGTGCTTATGATTACCCAAATGTATTCTGTCTTTTCCTTTATGGTTGTACTTTCTTATTTAGGAAATCCTTTCGTACCCTAAGATCATGAAGATTCTCACGAGTCATTAATTCTTGCTGTTCAAATAATTGGGGCCTTGGTGGCACAGTGCTTAAGCATTTGGCCCCTAACCAAAAGGTCGGCAGTTCGAATCCACCAGCCGCTCCCTGGAAACCCTATGGGCAGATCTACTCTGTCCTATAGGGTCACTATGAGTTGGAATCGACTTGGCGGCAATGGGTATTCAAATAATAAAAGGCATTTTGTTTTTCACTGTTAATTCTTTTAACTGACCTGAAATGGATTATTTTGTGTGGTGTGCAGTAGGGCTCCAGTCCATGTACACCCCTCTACGTGAACAGTCATGGTGCCATGTCCTCACTGTTCCATTGTGACATCTCAGCCTTGTACTCAGTTTCCAGATATGTGTGGGCCTGTTTTATGGAATGGAGTCCTGGGTGGTACAAACAATTAATATGCTCAGCTGCTATCCAAAAGGTTGAAGGTTCGTGTCTACCCAGAGGAACCTCAGAAGAAAGGCCAGACAATCTACTTCTGAAAAATAAGCCATGCCATTGAAAACCTTGTGGAGCACGGTGGGTCGTCGTAAGTCAGAATCAACTTGACAGCAGTGGGTTTGTTTCTTCTTTTTAGTTGATTCTTTATTGTGGCAGTAATTTCTGATCTTAATTTTGTTATTACTTTCCTTTGAGTTATTTACTTTTCTAATTTCAATTTCCTTTTCAAGTTTAGAAACTTAGTTTTAAATAGCAGTTCAGCAGCATCCCACAGTTTTGACCTGTAGTACATTCATTTTCATTCATTTCTAAACATTTGGTATTTTCATTGTGCTTTCCTCTTTCACCCATAAGTGAAATAGGAGCGCATTTTAAAGTTCTACACACGTGCTTACATGTTTTGTTCTGAACTTTTTATGTTGACTTCTGATTTAATCAGACTGGGTCAAAGAACGTAGATTGCATGAAACAGATTGCTTAAAATTCAGTGTAACTTTCCATATACGGTCAACAGTTATACAGGTTTTAGAAAGAAAGAGTCTCTGCTGGGTATAGAGGTCTAAGTTTATCTACTAAATCAAGCCTCTTAATACTGTTAATATTTATTCTGTATTTTCTGTTTTATATCCTTTTTGCTTGACATCTTGTTATTCCTCCTTTTTTACCTTTGATAGAATCAATGGTTTTTATCTTATAGTTGCTTATGTCTTTTTCCGCTGGGTTGGAAATCATTAATTATACGTATATTCTTTTAGTAATTACAGCCAATATTTTAGTTACACCTAATATTTTAAGATGCATACTTAAGTATAATTCTTTTCTAATGAATTCTCAAGTAATTCTATATTTAGCTTCTCTTAACCAGGGCCTTATAATGATTTAGCTACTCAGAACAACCCCTAGTCCCAAGAGACACACAAATAACATTCCTAGTATCTTTTTATCTGGAGTTTTAGTTTACTTTATTTTCACAGTCAATATGGAATTAAACTCAGAACATTCTGTCAATTTCTCATATGCCACATATACCTCAGCCTTCACATTTCTTCTTCCTGATGTACAACGTTTAAACATTCCTTTAATGTGGATTGCTGGTAATATATTTTTTCAACTTCTGTCTGAAAAAGCTTTATTCTGTCTTCACTACTAAATGATAAAGTAGTATAAAATTCCAGGTTGATGGTTATTTTTACCTTCACACTTTAAAATACTACTGCAATGCCTTCTCGCGTCAATTGTGCCTAAGAATGCTAGCAGTCTAATTTTTGTTCCTGTGTGAGGAAGTCTATTTGTCTTTCACAGAGAAAAAAGTCTTAAGGTTTTCTCTTTGTCTTCAGTATTCTGGGATTGTGCTACATGTTTTCCGACATTATGAATCTTTAGTTTTCTGTTTAGCTGACTGAGTGGTCCAGGGACTTGCATCTTTCTTCAAGTCTGGCAAATTCTCAGCTAGAATCTCTTCCAAATTTCCTCCTCTGCCATTCCCTCAATTCTCCTCAAGTCCCTAGAAGTATCGGTGTTTAACTGCCCATTCACATTTTTTCGGTACCTCTCTGCTACAGTGAGGTGACGCTTAGTGCTAGCGTCTAGTTTATAAACTCTTTAAACTGAATCCAGCATTTTAAAGAATATATTTCCGAAGCTTCTAATGGATTCTTAGGGTCGCTGTGAGTCAGAATCGACTCCACGACAACGGGTTTGGTTTGGTTCTTGTTTTGTCTCTTCCTGTGTTTCATCATTTCTTCTGCTCTTTTATGGACTTCACTCCTCATTCATCTCTCTGAACATTACAAACACGCTTATTGTAAAGCCTTTGTCAGATGTGTTTTTATTGCATATGGTCGAAATTGATAATCTGCTGATCTTGCCAGCTGTCTTTCTTAGCACTGGACTGCTTCGTATGTTTTGGAATGTCGGTTGGCAGACTCACATTGGGTGAGTGTTGTTTGGTGTTTCTTTCCTGCCCGTCCCTGCGTAGTGGCCGAGCAGGGGTCAGCGGGGGCTGCTGCCTTTGGGAGCCTGTGAGGTTGCAGGCTGAGTCACCGCACCGGGAGGCTGCTGGGTTTAGCACTGGGCTGCAAGGCTGTACCAGCTGTGCCTGGCTTCCTGGTCATGACGTCACATACACTGTTGTCTGGGCAACAGTCTTTTTCTAGCATCTTTGAAGAGCAGGGGACTCCATCCTCGTTCCTAGCTAGACACAGTGAGCTAGGCACTGGCCCTGCCCCCTAGCCTCAGCCTTATTATTCCACAGAATCTGAACGTCCAGCTGTCAGGGCAGCTTCTGGACCAGTAGCCCAGCAGGCCAGGCTTCAGCACTGCTCACTGCCCCATTCGTGCTGGGTGTGAGTCAGCCTGAGTCGTTTTGGTTTCCCTGTCTTATACGCTGTGTGTGGAATCATTGAGGGTTGAGGAAAAGGTGGTCAATATCGGGGGATTGCTTGACAGTGCATTTGCTGGATGGTTGACCAGAAGTTGCATTCAACATGAATACAGGCTCATTCATTCCTTTAACAGTGCTAGGCCTACTGCCTAATCTCACATCAGAAAAGAGAATTAACTTTCATCTACACCAAGCCCACTCCACCTTCTGTGAGATAAGTCTCCATTAATGGCACTGGTTTAATATCTGGATTATTTGAGTGCATCATTTAAAGACAAAGGATAAGAAACTTACAAAATTTATTCCAGAGTAAATTTATTTTTCTAATTTGCATATTAAAGTATAAACATACAGATTTTTATATGGACATTAACACCAAGACTCAGATTGTTTCAGTTTAAATGAGATAATTTGCAAGCAATAAAATTTAGTAAGTTTAAATGTCCTCCAGTTTCAAGGCCAATATTAATAAATTGGTCCGCTTTCCCTTGCATCAACTCATTTGAAAGTTTTCCAAAAGGTGACCCTGAAATTGTGCTTGATTCAAAAAATCCTGACTGGTTTTACCAATTTTTTAATACTTGAGAAAACATCGCTTTGATTCCATGGTCATATTCCAGCTTTTATTTTTGCTAAACTTTAGCCCCTTTCTCATTAATCAATTTTTTTAAATCTCTGGTTATTCTAATTTCCACCACTTCTAAACCTTATGATTTCTTGTACTTAAACTCCTTAATGTTCTAAACAACCAGACATCGACTTTCTTCCATTTCTGTCTCATCCCTGGACCAGTTCCCTGTTCTAGATTCTCCATCTTATATCAATGCTTTCATTTATTAGAACTAAGCTACTAGCTCTTGCATCCTTTTAGTCTCTTTCCTTTCTTTCCCACAGAAAGTTAAACAGTATCAGAAATTAAACAGAAAGAATAGAAGGAATCATTGAAAAGGTAAAGGACCCAGAGTACATATATGCAAGACTAATTTAATCGCAAATATAAGAATGGTAAAATCCAGTTAAAGAGGACCCCACTACAGAGAAGCCCTCGAGATATAACAAGTTGCCTCTAAGTTTAATCCTGAAACAACTCATATGAAATAGATTTTGAAGGTTTGTTCACTGAAGTCTGTTAAGTAAAAAGAAATAAATGAAGCGATCACAACCAAGTATTTTTCTTTTTTTGAATTTGTTTTCCTTAAAGGGAACAGAACAATGGAGGCTAGAATCTTATATCTGTGTCAAGAACAAGTTTTCAGAATATGAAATACTAGCATAGCTGACTACCACCTATCTGTCAGCCATCTGTGGTGGCTTGCATGTTGCTACGATATTGGAAGCTATGCCACCAGTATTTCAAATACCAGCAGGGTCATCCACAGTGGACAGGTTTCAGCGGAACTTCCAGACTAAGACAGACTAGGAAGAAAGACCTGGCTTTCTTCCAAAATTAGAAAACCTTGTGGATCACAGAAGAACATTTTCCAACTCGCTTGCTTTGGACACGTCACCAGAAGGGAGAAATCACCAGAGGAGGACCTCATGTTTGGTGAAGTAGAGGCCAGCAAGGGTGAGGGAGACCCTTGGTGAGACAGTTTGGTACAACAGCCTCAAAGCAACAATGGATGCAACCATGTTAGCGATTGTGAGGATGACACAGGACTTGGCAACATTTTGTTCTGTTGTACTAAGGTCACCATGAGTCAGAGTCAACTCGACAGCACCTAACAAGAACAACAATACCACTGCTGAAAAGTTATAGTTAGGAGTAACTGTATCTACGTGCCATGAATAAGGAAAACTTCCATGTTTTTGTTGATTCCTTACCTTGGTGATTTGCAAGTCGGTTAGACGGCGCTGGGAACCCAGGTTCTGCCAGACCTCTTTGACTGTGAGGAGAAGTCTGCTCGGCTTTATCCTAGAGAAAAGAACAACAGAGAGGTTCAGGGCAAAAGATGCATTTCATACTTTTCAAGATCCACTATCCTGGCATTTCCTTCCTTCCTTTCAATTTATTTACTTTTTTAGTTTTAAATGACAGTCATTTAAAATACACTACAAAAGAGAAGTTAATCATGAAAAGGTGCAACCTGTTTGGCAAGGGAGTTAGAAGGAAAGTTACTCCTGCTTTTTGGCCTAAAAAGCTCTCCCTGAATAGCAATTCAAAAAGAATTATAGTCAACTCTGCTGCTTGTTTTGGGCAAGGAATATAAATAATTAACATTCCCTTGGAGCACATATATTTTCTATAACAATTACTGGTAATCAAGAGTCAGGGAGTCTATCACCTGATACAGAAATAGCTGGAAAGTGGTTCATAAATGCCTCACTATATAAAGCACAAGAAGCTCAGTTGTACTTTTGAGATGTACCCCCCTCAAAAAAAAATCCAAACCCGTTGCCATGGAGTCGATTCCGACTCACGGTTACCCTACAGGACAGAGAAGAACTGCCCCATAGGGTTTCCAAGGAACGGCTGGTGGATTCAAACTGCTGATCTTTTGGTTAGCAGCCAAGCTCTTGAATCTTCTGTGAAACTTAAAATGGTAATATTACGAACAAGCCCATAACTCTAGAAAAAATCTTCACGACAATATAATTAAGCCAACGAAAGAGCTATGAAAATGTGGGGAAAGAAAATGTGCCTTGTACTATTTATCTGCTTACACCAAAATATAAACAGTGATTAACTTGGGGAGAGGAGGATGTCAATTTTCTGCTACAGATTTATGAAAGGTTTGAAAGTTTTACGGTGCACATGTCATACCGATGTAATTAGAAAGGTTTTAGAACAGTGCAAAAGTTACAAGATCTGCAGTAAACGTCGCTGTTAATGTTATTAAGACATTGTCACAAATACAGTAGTTAGCTTCAACAACCTCATCCCGATCTATGCAATAAGACCCTCCCAGTATTCTAAAGGAAATACTGGTGGTGTAGTGGTTAAGAGCTATGGATGCTAACCAAAGAGTTGGCAGTTCGAGTCCACCAGATGCTCCTTGGAAACCCTATGGGGCAGTTCTGCTCTGTCCCATAGGGTTGCTATGAGTTGGAATTGACCCCACGGCAATGGCTTTGATTTTTTGGTGTAGTACTCTAAACTGCTGCATATAAAATACATTAGGAGTCTGAGCTGGCAAGAGCCAACACTGACACGGTGCTTACTCTGCCAGCTGGGTTCCCCATTTTAAAGGTGTGGAAAGTGAGGCACAGAGAGGTACACCACTATCACACAGCAGGTAACGACAGCACTGGGACTGGAACCCAGACAGCCTGGCTCCACAGCCCTCATTCATTCCCACCACATCACACTGTACGAGCTGCACAACCAACCAACCAGTTGCCATCCCAGTAGACTCTGGCGACCCCATGTGTGTCAGAGTACAACTGTGCTCCAGATGGTGTTCAGTGGCTGATTTTTCAGAAGTGGATCACCAGACCTGTCTTCCAAGGCATCTCTGGGTGGACTCAAACCTCTAATGTTTTGGTTAGCAGCTGCCCAAGAAACTCAAAAAAGTACATTCGACAAGGTGTCAGAGGCCCAGGAGCTCTATCATAGTGGGGTTTTTTTTTTCTTTTTTTGCCTGAATATTTCCAAGGGGCTTCACCTTCTGAGTCTTGACTTGCTCATCTGTAAAATGGGATGGATGATGATCACATAAACTTCCATGTAAATAGGTTTAGGATTGGTCAACACTGTGCTTCGGGGACCACTCACAAGAGGTGGTGGGGGAGATACGAAGGGGGAGCCCCAGGGAGAGATTCCAGAAGGGGCACAGCACCCACATCTGCCAAGCAGAATAAAGACGCTTGCTCCCTGGTGATGCAATTACATTCACACCTTCCTCCAGAAAATCTGGGGAAAACAAAACAAAGCTGTAAGGTACGGGAGAAATTTTCACTTGCTTCTCTCTCTCTCTTTTTCCCCCTTCCAAAAAAAAGTAACTTTTTTTTTTTTTTTTTTTAAATTATTGCTATAAAACCCATTGCCATTGAGTTGATTCTGACTCATAGTGACCCCTACAGGACACAACAGAACTGCCCCCATAGGGTTTCCAAGGAGCAGTTGGTGGATTCAAACTGCCGACCTATTTTGGTTAGCAGCCGAGCACTTAACCACTCTGCCACCAGGGCTCCTAGTTATAGGTATAATCAAAAAAACAAAAAAAAAAAAAAAAAAACACTCAAACCTGTTGCCGTCAAGTCGATTCTGACTCATAGCAACCCTACAGGACAGAGTAGAACTGCCCCATAGGGTTTCCAAGGAGCAGCTGATGGATTCAAATTGCTGACCTTTTGGTTAGTAGCCAAAGGCTTAACCAGTTGTGCCACCAGGGCCCCTAGTTATCTCTATCAGCTCTCTGTCCTACAGTGGATAGGTAGCATCATCTATGTCAATTAAGCAAATGATGCTACCTACCCAATCTAGGACAGAGAGCTGATAGAGATCTATGTTGGCTGATATGGAAAATTTGCAAGAATATATTAAAATACAGTAATACATGTAATGTGATTATGATTCCATTTTTTAATCTCCAAATGATTCAAATATAGCATAATTTTAATTTATTTTTACTTTACTTTTACTTTATAGCTATAACTACAATACTTGCTAATTATGAAATACTAGATGCTAAAGAAAAGTAAAAGTAAATACATAAAAATTAATCTATCTCTCTACTCACTACCCAGGGATGTTATCCTATCAGTTTTTGAGATGTTTCTTTGGAGGGGGGGATACACACATGGTGTGTGTTTGTTTGCATTGTTTGAATTATTTATAGACTGTATCTTTGCTATATTTGAATCATCTGAAGGTTACAAACAGTTTGGGTAAAAAAAAATGGAATCATAATCACACTGTATGTATTATGGTATTTTTATATATTTTTGGAAATTTTCCATATCAACCAACATAGATCTCTATCCGTTCTCTATCCTAGGGTAGATAGGTAGCATAATTTATTTAATTAATATCCTACTAATAAGTGTATAAGTTGTTAAAAAATGTACTTTTTTTTTATTAGGAAAGAGGAGAGGGATTGGTTTGGAGGACATGGGTATCTGGGAGGCAAAGGGAAGACCACCAAGAACCCTACTGAGGGGATGAAGATGGAGCTGTTCACTTGTTGAGTTTAGAAGGTGGTACCTCCCAGTCTCCCAGATTCTGCAAGGCCCCCCACCTGGGTCTCTCTGACTAGTTTCTGTAGCTCAACAGCCAATGTTTTTCCATCCAATCCACTGTTTACTTTCGAAGAAAAATATGTTTTGTCTCTTTTCCAAATTTCAAAACAATCCATATAAAGTTTTTGGAAAGGCAGAGTAGAAATCAGAAAATAAGAATTAGCTCAAATCCTAAAACGTTAGCCTAACTTAGCATGCCCATGGACTTTATCATGCACAGCTAGACACTGTAGTAGAACTGCCCCATACAGTTTCCAAGGCTGTAATCTTTACAGAAGCAGACTGCCACGTCTTTCTCCTGCAGAGCTGCTGGTGGGTTCCAACCACAGAGCTTTCAGTTAGCAGCTGAGTGCTTACCCACTGCACCACCAGGGCTCCTCTTTTACATATGGCTAATTTTAGTCATATTTCTAGCAAATACTTTTCTTGCCACGTCTTCAGATTTAATTATATTTTTTACTCTCAAAAATTTAATTCAAGTTTGCTCACCTTTTTATGGTTTCATTATTCTAAGGTTAAAAAGTACCTTCATTCTCTACCAATAAATTCGGAAAACAGTCACTTGTGTTTTACTCTGTTTTTGTTTTTTCTGATTTGACCCCTCCCCTGTGGTTGACCAGTTCACCCAGGTCCACTCATCAACCAATCCTTCCTTTTGCCTGGTTTAGGAGGTCACTTTCATCACACGTCATAATCGTAAGTACACAAGAGTCTGTTTCTCGGGTACCTACTATCTGCTCCTTCCTAGGCCAAATGCCACACATTTGTAACTTTCACACCTTGACAGCATGCATGAACATCAGCAGTACATTTTCCTTCTTGCTTCTTTTCCATGAATTCTTTAGTCATTTTCTTCCAAGTATATTTTAGAAGAGTTTCAAAGTTAGCTTAAATTATTAAAATTTCTCATTGGAATATTCACTTGTATATAAATGCGCAATCACTATTCATTACCAACATGAATGTTGCTATTGGATCATCTGATTGAAATCAGATCACACAAAGATAATATAAACCAAGAAGATATGCTACCTCCTATTTTTCAAAGCTTTGGATGGGGCAAATGGTTAACACGCTTGGCTGCTAACCAACTGAAAGGTTGGTTGTTCAAGTCCATCCAAAGATGCCTTGGAAGATCTCCAGATCTACTTCCAAAAAAATCAGCCACTGAAAACCCTATGGAGCATGCTTCTACTCTTGACACACATAGGGCTGCCATGAGTTGGAGTTAACTCGAAGGCAACTAGTTATGTTTCAAAGGGTAGGCAGGGACCAGCACCTGCCCAGTCCCCATCCAGCCCTGCCACAAGGCTCCTCTAAGGATAAGCATGGCCCTGTGGAGTATCAAGCACCCAGGTGTTTGTGTGTACACTCAGCTCTGAGATCAATTCATCTATGCCATGCCCTGCTCTCCCTGACAACTACTCTTTTAAGTGACAAGCAAACCAGGCTCCATTGAGACATCTGCTTAGAAGACAAGTACCTTTACAACCGAGTTGAGAACAAAAGCCAAACCAGTTGCCATCGAGTTGATTGTGACTCACAGGGACCTCATGTGTTTCAGAGAGAACTGTGCCCCATAAAGTTTCCATGCCTGCGACCTTTCAAAAGTAGATTGCCAGCCCTTTCTTTCAAGGCTACTCATGGTGGGTTCAAACCGCCAACCTTTGTTAGCAGCTGAGAGCTTAACTGTTTGCGCCATCCAAGGACTCTATAATTTAAACAACCTCACTA